TTTGTTTTTTATATTGATTTATTTTCCGTTGTTTAATACGTTTAATAATTATCAATAATTTACTGAATGCCTTATGTTTTAATAATTTATTTATATTTTACTTTATTTTCATTTATTGCGTGAGTCACTTTTAATGCTGAACGAAAAGTGACTTATCAAATCAACCGAATGAGTAAAGAAAACTACAATGGCTTTTTTTGAAAAAAAAGAATGATCGATTTAATTGAATGGTTGTGTTGAAGTTAAACAAGGTTGAACAAAAGAATAATATTTTATAATTTAATAACAATAAATAATAATAAACTTACTATTATAACTCACATCAAGCTGTCGTTCATTCATACTTTATACAACACATTCATTTTTTTATCCCGAAAAATAATTGTTTTTAAGACCAAATAATAAGAAAATTACACATTTATTTATATATTTGCCCGTTTTATTGTATAAAATCCGCTTAATATTCAATAGCTTAAATTAGTCTGGTCCCTGATTTTTCCTGTGGTCCCTATTAATTCCGCTATCTGTATATTATTTTTTGTACATACAGTAGGGGAGTGAGGGGCTTGACCTATACTTTTAATGGTTTATTTACTATATTTAAATAAAAACTATTTTTAATGTTCTATTTAAAAACACAACCTTGACTTATAAGTTATAGTTTATAAACCATAAAAGTATTGGTTCATCATTAGCATAAAGTCGGAACTTGAAATTGTATTAAAAACGACTTGGGTGTTTGTTAGTTGTTAGTTCTCAATAAAGTCATCGGTAGGCGTTAGTCTTTATGTTTGATATGGCTCTCGTTGTTGGCAACTTTTGGATATTCCAAGGCAAACTTTCCTCTTCGGATTTGACCAAATATGTTGGGATAGGCGGAAGAACAAACAATTCCAAGTGTTCTCTGGTATAAACACCATTGGCTTCCAGTAACAATCTGGAAGCCTCTTTTATAGAAACGAACATTCTTTTGATCTTGCCAATATTGACTCCAATAACACCAGAACGCTTATATGATGCAATAATGATGTTTTTGTTGCTTTGCTCTC